CCCAGATCCCTGTGGTCGTCCTCTGCGTCTGCCACTTCTCACCCAAACCCTGCCACCCCCACGCCGCCTCCCTGCTCCGCCCTGCCCCACGCCCGCCACCGGCCTGTCAGTCGGGCCCCCCTATCCTTTGGCCTTCACTCTCTTTTGCCCCAAACTTACCATCGCTGAAAGATAAAGGACCTCATCACCCCGCTGCCCACTGCCAGCTCGCATCAGAGTTACCTGCAGTTCCCAGAACAGCAGTTCCTTGATTTCTCAGCCGCTGGACCTTTGCTCACAGTCGCTCCTCTACCTGGGAGACCTTCCTGCCCTTCCTTCAGGAGTCATCCTGAGTCACCTCTTCCTGGGGGCCTTCCTGGAGCCTCCTCCTCTGCCCCTCAGCGTCCAGCGCTAGCTGGGACTCAGTTCCGCCGGCACTGTTTTGTCTGTGCCTCCCCCACCAAGCCAGAGAGTTCCACAGCGAGCAGAGGCTGATTCATCTCCGAGTCCCTAGTGCCCCAAACCGGGCCTGGCACTATGTCGCATCCCTAAATATTGTTCTTTCAAAGAGAGAAATGTGATTATGCAACAATGTAAATACACCTAACACTAACTGTACACTTAAAAATGGTTAAAGATGGTAAATTTTGTTATGTGTATTTTACCACAATTTTTTAAAAAGTAAGGGAAATGGGGCTGGGTGCAGAGGCTGAGGTGGGCTTGAGTGTTTGAGGTCAGCCTGGGCAACATAGCAAGATGCTGTCTCTTGAAAAAAAAGAAAAGCAAGAGAAATGTAAAGTCAAACTATACTGAGATACCATTTGTCACTCGTCAAATGAGCAAAATCAAAGTGTCTGTTAACACAATGTTGGAAAGGCTGTGGGTAAGTGAGCGACCCCTCTGCCTACTGCAGTCTGACAGTGGACACCAAGATGACAAATTCACATACTCTTCGACCCAGAAATTCCACTGCTAGAATTTGATGCTATAAATATGCTGACCCATGAGCAAAATAATAGAAGTTCAAGATTCCGAACTACGGCATGTTCCAAAAGACTGGAAACAACCAAAATGTCCACAAGTTGGGGACTGGTTTAATCAGTTATGACATAATTTCATATGATGAAATAATGAATAATGAATAATTTCAATGAAATAGTATACAGCCATGAAAAACAAGAAGGCTCCTTTTGCACCTGTATAGAATCATCTTCACAATCTCATTTTAACTTAAAAAAGCAAGGTGCAGGACAGCATGTGTGGAATGCTGCCATTTGGGGAAAAGAACTTACACATGTTTGTGCATTAAGTTATTTCTGGAAGGCTGCACAAGAAAATGATAACTGTAGTGACCTCTGAGGAGGTAAAGCAGGAATAGGAAAGACTTATTGTTCAACATACATCCTTTTGTATTTTTTGAATTTTGTGCCACGTGATAGGTTACGCATTCCAAAGAGTACATTAAGATAACACCTTTTTAAAGTAAAGGCAACCATTAGGTTTTCTTCACGGCTCTCCAGGATAAGAAAGGAGGCAGAACTAAGGGAGATGCTGATCCAGGGCCACAGCTGGTGGGTTCAGCAGGACGGTGTCCGCTCAACGGGATGGTGTCCATGGCAACATGGCCCAGGAGTCTGCAGAGTCCTGTCTCCTCCAGTGCTCTCTCCTCAGTGCGCCGGGGCCAGCGAGCCTCTAGAAAGCCATGTTGAAGGCAGGTGAGGATGAGGAGCTAAACCAACTGTGGAGGAAAATAGCAGGCAGTGCCAAGCCCTGGTTTGTCCGGAGACAGAAGGCTTTTCATCCACCAGTCATCCATCTAGCATTCAATACATTTTATTGAATACCTACTACAGATAGAGGTGATACAACTATGGCCAAGATCAATGATCTCTGGCTTCCCAGCCTCCTAGGGGAGATAGACAAACACACAGACAGTTCCAATTCAAGGAGACAGCCACACAATAGGGATGGTCAGAGAGCTATGGGAGTCCAGGGCTCACTTCCCAGAGGAAGTTTTGTCTTGGCTGAGCCCTGAAAGATGAGGAGGAGTTAGCCAGGGTCAAACCTGGAGGCAGGGGTGTCCCAGGCAGAGATCCGTGCCAAGGCTGGGAGGCAGTCAGGACCTGGGCGTATATAAAGAATGGCCTGAAGGCCAGCATGGCTGGGTGTGCTGAGGAGGGGAAGGATGAGAAGGTCTGAGGTGGGTCAGTGGACATGGGCTGGCCAGCCGGAGTCTTGCAAGCAAAGGGGAAATGCTCAGAATACCAGGGGCAACGGGAAGTCACTGGAGGGTTTTAACTAGTGGATCCTCGTGTTCTGATTGTCTGGTCCATAATTGGGGAATGGGTCACAGAGGGTAGGAGTGAACGTGGATGGACCAGTCCACGGGCTGCTGCAGTAAGCCAAGCGAAACACCGCATGGGCTTGAACGGGGAGGGCTGCAGTGGAGGGGAGGGCGGCGGGTGGATCTGGGATCTCTGTTGGAAATTGAGCCAACAGATCTTAACTGGGGGTTTGTCAGGTGAGAGCTGCCAGGGATCTGACAGACTCCTGGGTTCCTGTGTTGAGCAGAATGTGCAGAGGAGTGGTGGGACCATTTGCTGAGATGAAAAGACGAGAGAAGGAGCAGGTTCGGGTAGGAGACTCCAGAGCTCCATTTGAGAACTATCGCATTGGAGATGTTTTTGGACATACAAACAGAGATATCAAGCAGGAAGCTGGCTATAGGAGTCTGGAGCTCAGAGGAGAGGTCTGGGCTGGAAATATGCATTTGTGAGTCACCAGCATATAGATGGTATTTAAAGCCATGAGTCTCGATGAGATCACCTAGGCAGAGAGAATATAGATAGAAAAGAAAATGCCCAAGGCTGAGCTGGCTAGAGAAGGAGGAGTCCCAAAAATTGGTGAGTGTGGCTCCCACGCCCAGAGTTAGGGGCAGGTGTACCCTGCTGAGAGACAGACAGAATGGAAAGAGAATTAACCATTAGATTTGGCAAATCAAGAGGTCATTGATAGATTTGCCCAAAGTGGCTTCAGTGCAGTGGTGGGGGTGAAGACAGGTCAGAAGAGGTTGAAGAATGCATTAAAGGTGAGGGAGTGGAGACAGCAAGTGTAGATAACTCCTTAGGAGTTGTCCATCTATACTGGAACGCTGCGCATCCATGCGTTCTCTCCCTGTGATTCTGAAGGGCAGAAACCATGCCCTGGTGATTTCTATCTAAGCCGTAAATGGAGTCCAGCCAGCGCATAGCGGGAGCTCAATACATGTGTTTAATGGTTGGATGAATGGATGAGTGGATAATTCACTGTTGGAGTCAAAAGGGACTTTTCTTGTAGCGAGACCAGCTGTATTCTTTTGAGGCAATTGAGGAAGCTAAAAAATCAGCCCCAAAGGTACAAGCTGTGGACCCCTTCTCCCAGCTAACCGCGAGGAACAGCTGCACACAGGCCTGGGGCGGGAGTCCTGGCCCTGAGTCAGGAACCAGGCTGTTGAGCCCCTGCATCCCCCACATGCCCTGCGGTTTTGGGTAAGTCACTTCCTCTTTGTCGGAGAGATGAGCTGGGGAAGCAGCCCACAGGGCCGGTCCCAAAGAGGCCCCATAGGTGTTAGTCTCCCTCCTCTTTTTCCTTTTTTTTTTTTTTTTTTCTTTCTGGGCTTTTTTCTTGTCTAGGAGCTAGACGCTGATGCTTGTAGTGAGTACCTCCCAGGGTTGCTGTTCGAAAGACAGGAGGGCTGGGACTCTGGGGAGCCTGGGGGCAGGAAAGATGTAGAGGTGGAGCATCCAGCCCAGGAGGGAGTCTCCGTCTGTGGGCAGAGGACCTCACACACGCCACGGACACACGCGTGGCTGTGGGGGAAGCCACGGCCCTGGGTGTGTCAGAGGCTGTTGGAAAGGAACTTGTGTAGTGAAACTAAGGAGACCCTGAAGTGTCCTTGGGCTTGGGGGATGGAACATGACTGTGACAGACAGGCCTGCCTGCCAATCAGAAGGGAGCTAACTCTTACACCCTGAGAGGCAACACGGTATCTGGGGCCATGAGAGTGGGAATGGCTGTTGGAAAATGTGACCGAGAGGGGAGATGGGATGGCCCCTGGGAGAGCCCACCGGCTGCAGAAGGGGAAACAGACCCAGAGAAGGGAGTCAGCCAGGACTCTGTGGATGGCCAAGAGACCTGCCTCGGAATGGGCCCGGGGACTTCCTCTGACAACCCCCCGACTGCCATTCCGCAGCGATCCATTTTCCTGCAGCACCAGTTGCAACCTGTGGGAAGAGGCGGGAGGAGGGCCTGGAGCCGCCGGCCGCAGCGCCTTGCTGGCTGGCGGAAGGGAACAGCCAGGCGCGGACACTGCTGCCACCTAGCGGGAACGGGCTGTTACTTCTCTTGGTTCCCAGCCCCAGGAACCTCATTCTCACCCTCAGCTGGGCAATGAGATGGGATTTGGGGTTCGATCAGGAGACCGCTGTTCCCAGAATTTGGCAAGAGGGAAGCCTCAGGGAGGAAGGCACACACCCCTGGTTAGTGTGTACTGCTACATCACTTTTCCCCTCTGTGTCTTGGTTCCCTCTTCTGTACGAGGGGGGCAAGGGTAACTGCCTCTTAGGGTTGTTGCAGTGGTTAAATGAGCCAATCTGCGCAAAGTACTTGGACTAGAAATAAGTGCTCAATAAATGCTACCTGTGGTTGATCCAAGGGGTAACTGGAGGTGTGTAGTAGCCCTGTCCCCCCACCCCAAAATATCCCTGCTGTACAAATGCAGCTTCCCTTAGTTCTGGCTTTCAGCAAGATTGCCCTACTAAGCCCCTCCTGTTTGCAGATTCTGGGGCTGCTACTGTCATGGTTTTGTCATCAGCGTCGTCGCAAAGGATGAGGGCTCTGTTGGTCCCAACCTCTTCTCTTCTGATTCTGGGGGTCCCAGATCCTAGCACTTCCTCTATCCCCTCGCCCTAGAGTGTACACTCAGAATGGTTCTGGTCTGTGACATCATAGAGCCCCCACCCCATAATTGGAGTGGAGGGGCCATGAGGCTGTGCCAGTGGGTGCTGGTGTGGGTGTGGCTGGCTGGGCTGGGGGCCATAAAAACAGGTAGGGCGCTGTTTTGGGAGCAGTGGGAAGGAAGAAGGCTGTGGGGGTGAGGGGCAATGCCCCCTTAGGGACTGGGAGGCCAACCCCAGACCTTTCTCTGTTCCCTCTACCCTTCTCTCCCATCCTCCCCATCTGTCCCGGATCACCCTCCCCTCCATGAGCCCTCTCATGGAGAGCTCTGCTGACCCTAGGAACAAATTCAAGCCCCTCTGGAGCCACAATAAGGCAGCCTCAGCTTCTTGGGGTATGGGCAGGGGTCTGCCTGGCTGTTGTCACAGACTTTGCTGTGGGTCCTAGCGCCCAGCCCAAAGCGCACCAAGGCTTTAGTCCTGGGCACAGAGTCCCCAGTCTTCATAGACAGACCTGATTTCTTCGATTACCCAGACTCGGACCAAGCCAGGCTCTTGGCTGTGGCCCAGTTCATTGGAGAGAGGCCTGTCGTCTTTGCTCACTCAGGTGCGAACCAGGGCCTGGGGGAGAACTGCCCGTCACCCTCCTGCTGGAGACGAGTCAGGGGTCCCTGTCTCCCCCTCCTTGCCTAGCAGGTTCCAACTCGGGGCTCTTCCATCACATCCTGGTGGGCGCACTGGTGCTGGCCTTCTTCTTCCTCCTCTTCCAGTTCTGCACCCACGTGTAAGGCCTGCCCCCTCCCCGACCCCACTCACCTCCGCCTTTCTCAGGAGAGGCTGAAGGACCCCAGTCCTGGGGGGCAGTGTGCAACCTCCCACCTCTGACCTTCGTGCCCCACAGGAGCTTCCAGAAAGGGGCCTGAAGAGTGGACAAGGGCCCTGGACTCAGCCCAGGGGCCCCAATCCTCCCTCCCCTCCTGCTGATGAATAAAAGTCCTTGCTTTCTCCTCCCTGACAGCTCTGTGACCCGCCAGGCGTCCTGCCCTCTCTTGTAGATGTCCATGTTTCCACTGCCTGTGCCCCCACCTCCTCCCTTCCAGGCCCCAAAGAACCGGGTGAAGAGGGCCTTGGCGGCGTTCACACAGATCGTCTTTATTAGCGGTCTGTAAGCACCTCCCAGGTCCCCCGACCCCAGATTGGAGGAAGCCTTGAGAGGTCTGTAGCACCAGGGACATGCCAGGGCCTGAGGGCAAGATGTGCAGCCTAATGGGAAAGGACTGGGCACCGCTCACCTGCCCCAGGGCTGCTCAGCACTGAGGCCTGGGGGGTAGTAGGGCCCACCCTCCCCCCACCCCAATAGACTAGTCTGAATTTGGGCAAATAAATAAAATAAATAAGATTCCTGGCCTGGCCTGCCCCGGAGAGGAGCTCTGGGGGTGCTGGCCCCTGGTGAAGCCCATGGTAGGGGGTAATTAGGGTGTCTTCTCTCTCCCAGATGACGGGGGGGCCCAGGGGGTTTGCAGCAGGGGGTAGGGATGTCCTTGGCAGCAGGGCCTCCCCCATGTCCTGACTCCTGGTCCCCTTGAGTCCTTGTCTCCCCGGGAGCCCTCCAGCCCTCAGCAGGCGGGAGGTGGTACCCCCTTCCCTTCTCCAGCGAGGGGTAGACAGGGAGGGGTCGCCAGCCTGGGCTTGGGCACCGTGGGGAGTAGAGGTCCCTCCTCTCCTTGCCATTGGCCCCTGAGGGAGGGCCTCTCCCCCTTCTGGTCCACCTGTGTCCTGTCCAGGGAGGGCCCCTGGCTGCCACCCTCACCTGTCAGCCCCACAGTCCTGTCCCCAGGGTGGTGGTGCGGGGAGGGGCAGGGCCCCAGGCCCCCTCAGTCCTGGGCCTGGCAGGGGGAGGGCGGCGGGGAGCGGGGCCGGAAGAGGCGGCAGGCCCCGCGGCAGATGAGGAAGAACCAGTAGAGCTGGGGAGCCAGGAGCAGCGCGGCGCCCAGGTTGACGTGGGCCGGGATGGCCAAGGGCACGGCCAGCAGGGGCAGGCCCGCGTGCCGCCCGTAGGCCCAGTACAGGTAGGGGAAGAGCAGCACCCGGCAGCACAGGAAGCTGAGCAGCATCAGGGCCCCGTTGACCTTGTGCAGCAGCGTGTGCTGCTGCTTGTACTGTGGACACACACGGAGGGTGGCCAGAGCGCCCTGCCCTGCTCCCCTGCTCGCCGCCGCCCCGCCTCCCCCTGCCCCAGCCTGCAGCTCCCCCCAGAAGCCCTGAAGGTCCCCGAAGATGCCTCCCTGTGCCCTCTCTTCAGGCTCCTACACCCTCAGGTACCCTCTCACCTGGATAAGGATCTTGCCAAGGCAGACGAAGGGGGTGCTGACCTCTGCCATCAACATGCAGCCCAGAAAGAAATCCCCCTTGCCCTGTCGCCACACCTGAGCAGAGAGGGAGGAAGGTGGGGGCCGGGCCTCACCCTGAGCTCCTCTCTCTCCGCTGTCACTGTCAGAGATGCTTAACTCTGGACATCCGAACATGTGGGTACAGTGGCAAAGCTGGGTGCACGACCTCACTGTATCCCTCCAACAGTCCTGCAGGTGGGACTGTATTCCCTACGTTACAGGTGAGGAAACTGAGGCTCAGAGACACTTGACAACAGATCCAAAGCACCACAGCAGGGCACGGCACAGACCCTCATGCTTAGCAAACCCTCCAGGTCAGCAGCTTTTCCTGGGGCCCTGCTGGGCCCTCCCTGCTGCTGGTACCCAGACCCACGGCTCCCCCAGGCTCCCCGAGGACTCACCACCGACAGCGGGAAGCACACCAGCACCATGACAGCATGGTGGAGCACCATGAGGAACTCCTTGTGCAGGTAGCCGCGCGCTACAGCCCAGGTACTGCCCGGGGCTCTAGCGGCTCCGTCGTCCCCTCCATGCCCTTTGACCTGGTGCTTGTGCCAGTGACAGAGGAACATGGCATAGATGTCGTAGATGAAGTAGGGCACAGCAAATTGCGTGTAGGCAGAGGAAAGCCAGTGTCTGTGGGGCAGAGAGAGAGAGAAGAACCGGGAGGAGAGGGGATGGACAGTGTGACTCAGAGCTCAAGTGATCTTCGCAGCAACGCTGAGAGGGAAGCGGAGTCTCCAGTTACAGATGATGGAACCAAAGGGTAGAGGATGAGAAACTCGCCACAGGTCACAGTCCCGCAGCTGGTCAGTGGCAGTGTCGGGATTCGAGACTGATGTTCTCCCGTGTTCCTCCCTCTCTCTCCTCAATACGGTGGGAGAAATGGGAAGAGACCAGAAGACACCCTCAGCCCAAAGGGCGGAGATGGAGTGAGAAAACGAGCTCGGGCCAGGCACGGGGCCAGCTTAGGTTAGAACAGTAACGGCAGAAGGGGTGAGTGGTGGGGAGAGGTCACGTTGGTGACCACCAGCTGTCTGCTTGCTAGGCACAGGCACTGTTCTGATACTCAGATCCTCGGCGTGCCTGAACGTAGTCACTTCTCCCAAAACTCTACAAAAGGCAGGGGTTCATCATCCCTGTGACACAGATGAGGGAACTGAGTCACAGAGAAGCTAGGTAAGCTGGCCAAGGAATAAACGTGGTAAGTCTGGCTCCACAGCCTTCGCTCGCAGCCCTGCTGAAACCCTAGAAGATTCCAGAGGCGTCAGACTAGGCCCTGTTGGCAAGTGAGAGGTGGTGTCAGTGCTGCTTGTTCTGCCTGAACGTGACCCAATCTCTTGTTTTTTCAGGTACAGCCAAGCATTAAGGAGAAAACGCTGAGTGAAAGGAGCCAAGAACAGAAAAAGTTCTATGTACTTTGAGAGTAAACAAAAATGAGAAGTGCATGAATATGCAACATTGCATTTTTCTTCTTGAGTCAGCACATTGGCACTTTCTCTTAAGTCCTGCAGTCCTGAGACAAGGTCTGGGGGGCGGTGGGAGGTCAGGAAGGCAGGCCCAGGGGAGCTTACCTAACTAGGTGGAAGGGCGAAAGGAAAGTCAGCTGGAAGCTACACAGAAAGAGAGCTCAGGCCAAAGCTGGGGGTGCTTGAGGGGGCAGAGAGGCGGGGGCTGGGGCCAGCAGGGTGGGCAGACGCAGAAGGCAAGTCCTGGCGCAGGCTGCCCACTCCCCAGCAGGGACATTTCAGGGAACAGAGAACCCAAGACCCATGGTGTAGCAGTCCTGGAACTGTGGCCTGGGGGCAGGGAGAGGGGAGGGACAGCTGGTTAGAAACAAAGGGCAAGAGAACGGAGAGAGTGGAAAAGGATCCAACTGTCCATCCAGAAGTTACACAGGGAGTGGCCCAGAGAGCTGGCTCTGCAGAGCAGACGTGATGGGAGAGGGGATGGCCAGCCTGGCTGCAAGGTGGAGTGTCCAATCCCATCCCCGCCCTCTCAGCAATTAGGTGCTCAGAAACAGGAGCAGCTGCTGCCCCCGGATTAACCTTGATCCCCCCACCTACCTGAGGATTAAAGGGGGGAGAGACAAGAACAGACCTAGGTGGGGGGGATGCAAGAGCCAAAAGGTGACTCTGGGTATGCAGGCACTGGGAGGATTTTAAGGAGCCAGGAGCACCTTGGACCAGGGTGGGGAGGGGCAGAGAGAGGCGGGAGGGAGCCGAGTCACTGGCAGGGTCTGAAGAAGGAGTTAGGCATCCACTGTGAGGCGACAGGGGCTGTCCTTGGTGTCTGCCACATATCAACTCAACTCCTCCTCACAACAGCTCTTCCAGGAAGGGACACTGCCTCATGCTACAGTGGAGGGGATTCGTCTTTGGGAAGGATGAGGCAGACCTCCAGGTCAGGTCCCCCAGATGATGTCCCCTGGGGCTCAGTGGCCACCAGAGAAGGGAAGCAGGGCCAGAAGCTAAGAGGAAGCGTTGTCAGCACTCACAAGCCACTAGCAGCAGCCCGTGGGTCACCCCAGAGCAGACTGTCAGCACCATGGACAGGGCCCCTCTCCTCCTCCTCCTCCTCCTCCACCTCCTCCTCCTCCTCCTCCTACCCCATCTCTCAGGCCTGGGCCTTTTTGGCAAGCACCAGGCACTGCAGCAGCTGCTGTGCTAAATTTTGGCCTCTTCCCCTCCTCCCCTCCCCCACGGCCTGACCGTTAGTGGCCCTGTGTGTGTCATCTCTCTCCTCTCTTCTCCCTGGTGCATGGAGCTGGGCTGCACACCTGGGTTCTGAGAGGAGGTGAGGGGTGAGCCTGGCATGGATAGGGGGGCTCCCCAGTTGGGTGCTGGTTGGAAGTGGGGTCTGACTCCCAGGTGCAAGGGCAGGAGGAGGCACAGGAGGAAAGGACATTCAGAACCACTACGACAGAGCAGGCAGGGGCGCTGACTAGGGAGGAGGATTCTCTTTGATCCTCACCCCTTCTCCCCCTGGTCTGACCTTTAAGGACAGGATGGGATAAATTTATCCCTGGGTGTTGAGTTGCAGCTATTGGAGTTAACTTGCTCAGGCCCAGGTTAAGGGCTTAGGGACCACTGACAGTTCCCCGCGAGATGTGGGGTACTCTGGGGTCACACGCAGACACAGACTGCTGAAAACCAGGCAGAGGGGGTCTCATGGCACTTACTGGTCATCAATGATGTGCTTGCAGGAGGTGGAGACGATGTAGCCAGCTGTGGAGGCCATGATGGCTTGGACAGAGGACACTAGCCTAAGGAGAAATAGAGCAGAGTGATAGACGGAAGAGGCGTGTGCCTTGATTTCCCTCCCTGCTGGTCTAGTGACTGTGCTTTGGATCTGGTCACTTCTCGGGGCCAGTCCTTGCCCCTTCTCCTGAGGCGGGGCTTGCCCAGGTTCACCCCACCACCGCCACTTTCTTCCTTCCCTCTGTTTGTGGATACTGAGTCGCCTTCCTCTCAGGAGGACAGCAGGGAGGTCATCCTGAGGTGGGACAGTGCTGCGAATGTGTGCTGACGACA